AAAATTGTGATTTGATCTACGATTTGTACGTTTATTTAAAAAAAAAACAAATCCGGCATCTTCACTGCTTTACTAGGCTGCACCAGCCTTTTCTTAGTTGGCTGCTATAGAACCGGCTCTAGTATTAACCACTGGGAAAAAAATTTGCGCCTTGTCTATCCTCAGACCAATGGAGTAATTAGCCAAGACCTCGACGGTTGTAACTTCCCACTGTGCATAGGTGGCATGTTTTACTAACAATAAACTCTAGGCTTGAAGTTCTGGCCCTTCAAATGCAAAAGACAATATTCCTCAAAAGCACAAGTTTTCACGCGTCTCAAAGTATTTCGGGTCAACAGTATGTAACAGCCACATCTGCCCCCTGTTCTTCCACTAAATATCGCAACTCGACTGCAGACGCCAATTAAAAGATTCCTTCAGTATGGCATGTCACTCGTTGAAATTGCTTAAAACCAGTAGAATAAGCTAAAACCGCTTCTCGATTATACACCATTGGAAGACAGCTAGGCTCCGCTGACGATAACTGACTGTCTCTCCGAGGCAGTTAAATTCCTCAGAAAAATTGCCTTAGAACGTAAATACTGGTCCACTCTCGGCGGCGCACCTAAGGTTTATTTACTACCCGTTCCTATCCGTCAGCGCTCGATAGCAGTCGCGAGTCACACTTAACAATGTTTTCTGACAAAGAAATGAATAATTTATTGTTGCGATCTGCCCTTCTCATTTGCCAAAAAGACCCACTTGTGCCGGCCATTTATCTGACCAGTCCGTTTTTACGACTTTACACGTGGTTCTACGCGGAAGAGAGCAGGCCTCGGAGAGTTTTCGAGTGAAAAATATACACTTCGTCTCAAACCAAGCGGCTTGCATTCGCTGCGACAATATCGCGATGCCTCAGAACATGGAAAAATTATAACCGATGCAGTTTGCCCAAGTTCTTTTTCGTTCTCCCACGATTAAATTACGACTCTCCTGGATACGAATTCATGACCACGCCATAGACCAATTTTCCGGAGAAAACACAGCATTGGATGCAAAAAGTGAAAAGAGTAGAAAGTGTTTCAAAGATTTCCCTCTACACAACGTCTAAAAGTCATAATAGAAGTACAAGTACCCCTTCCGGTTCCCGTTTAGGAGAAATTTGTCTAGCACTGCTTCTAGAAGGCCCCGGGAGTTAGTTGCCACAAAAGCCAGTGAAGCGGTTTTTATACGTTTACTGTTGCTCAGCGAAAATTTCTTTCAGCTATACTGAAATCTGAAGTACTAATTAGGATCAGTTACATCGCCAGGCAAGCTACATAACGTATGTCGAGCTGAACTGCTGAAGTTTTTGAGTGTTTCTAAGAAATAAACATGACCACAAGTAACTGCTTTTCCGTAAATTATGGGGTTAATCTCACCGCAGTACTCAAACAAGCGTTTTCTTAATATTCTAGTGCCTAAATGATCCAGAGAAACGAAAACGCTATGACGAAATGGGCATGGACGGTTGCAAGGACGGCGAGCAGCATGTAGACCACAATCCCTTCGCGCATTTCTTTGGCTCCATGTTTGGTGGTCATACTCAAGAAGAGGAGGGCGCAAAACGTGGGGCCGATGTCATTATGAATTTGCCGGTGACTCTCGAGGAGATTTACAGCGGCAACTTTGTAGAGGTTATCCGTTGCAAGTCCTACAAAAAGCCGAGCTCTGGAACCAGGCAGTGCAATTGTCGGATGGAGATGAAAACCACACAAGTGGGTCCGGGACGTTTCCAAATGACCCAACAACGTGTTTGTAGCGAATGCCCCAACTTCACGTAAGTGTCTTTCACAGGTAGATATTGCTTTCATATGGCAGCTTCAAGTCCATCCGCCTGCTTCACTGTTCTTGTTCTCGAGCCGTTTTGCCCTCACCGTGAAGATTGTTGCTGACAGCGCATATGCTTTCTGATTGATATCTACTGCATACTTTTTTACGTATTAACTTTTTACTAGAACACCTAAAATCTGAAAACTAGTTTCTGTAATGTTCGGCAAAATATTTTTGTGCTTATCATCCTTGAATTAATGTTGTGAAGTATTTTATTTGTGCCGGTGTACAGTGCAGGTTACGATCTCATCGACAAATTCATACAAGTCAACCTGCTCGTGTTTCATCCTTCTGTCATTCTTATCACCGCAACAAGTGGTTAATTTCTCCCATCCTGTCCAGTCCATCCTGAAAAATCGACCCGTTGGCAACTAAAAAAGTAGGAATAAACGCTCTCCTGTAGGTTTAGAAGGGTTACCTGTCGGTTAGTACTTAAACGTAGGTAGTTTGGTGCGACTTCTTGACGCCAGAGTTTCGCCGTTGGCGAATCTCTATCATGAACCCTTTACATTTTTTTCTCCTGACTGTAAAACCGTTACACTCGCGGTGTCTTTTATATCCCCCACAGGTGGGCTTTTGTCATAACAAATTAACTAGTGCGCGGTTAATGGTGTTCTAAAATCGTTGGAGATCCAGATCTTAGAGTCGTGCATTGATAAATATGGTTGAAGACTGTAGGGGCAGTGGGTGTACTCAGATCACTACAATCATCAGACCGAATGCCAACATGTTGGAAAGGATAGGAGGCACCAGAATGGGGGATTTATTGTGCACAGAACCCTGAGTTGCTGTCGCAGGCGGCAGTGGCCACTGGCGAGGCCATGGCTAGTGTTGACTGCGTCCGGTCATGCCCGAGAGAGAGAGAGTAATATAGTGGTGGTAGCTGCTTTTATATGCTTGTGGAGAAACTTCGAGTGGTGTGCAATTAGTGCGTTGCGTTGCCCGAGGGCGTGTCGTGTATTTTGGCCCATTCAGCTTCGGCCGGGTGGTGGCTTTTTCACGTAGCCCTTAGGCAGCCGCGACTATTTGGACGCGCATGTGCGTGCGATTGGAAGTCGGCCAACGAGTCGGAACCAGCTGCCTGTGAAGTTGCATGACGTTGAGGCAGCGGGCATTAAACGGGCGAAGTTAGGGAGCAATGATGGATGTCCGCCACAAGACCGACCGAAACTTCAGTCTTAGAAATCAAGAAAGGCCACCTTATCTGCGAATTCGCGGAGGGAATTTTGGCGGTTAACCTGACGACCAAAACGAGGAAAAATCTGTGTTTTTTTAAATCTGTGAATTAATGTCTGTCGTCCAGAGAAGAGGGCT